TCTGCGAAGGCTCTGTCGCTCTTCCTATTTGCCATTACGGCAGTATACTCGGTTTGCATGTTGGACGGTCCCGACGGCGGAGGGAGGAGCGGCGGCACCGGCAAGAATTGAAACGGGCGCAGCCCTGACCTCCCTTCCGGCCGCCTTCCTGCTTGTCCTGTTGCCTACACAGTACTTGCTTAGTCTAGCTGCAGTCTGCCCCCAACGCATCAGCCTCCAGCAGGTCTCTCAGTGCTTTTTTCTGTCATGTTGCTCGTTGGTTCGTGGCGAACTCAACCACAATGCAGGCTGCGTCTCTGCGATACGTCATATCTCACTGGGCCGGTGCAATGAAGGAGCCCCAAGCACACGACTACATGGACCGGGACCCATTCTACGCTACATTAGCATTGCTGCATTCCGTTGGAACGCGACGCCAACAGCTGAGATCCGAAGGTCCGAACCTTATCACAAGGCTTCTGTTGTGCCGTCCACGCCGTTTGTGTGCCTCTTCCCTACAGTGCTCTTCCTGGGCCACCCCCTTGCTCGGAGTGGCACGTTTGGGGGTGCGTCAAGACATTCCCTGATCTCCTCCCACCCCCCAATCCCTCGCCTTTGTTTATATCTGCCCTTCCTGATGGTCGGGCACGGTGCCTAGGTAGTCTATTCACCGTACTGTGTATGCCAGATCAGTTACCCCAGAAAGGGTCAACTGGGTGACAAGGTTCCCCATAATGTTTCTGTATTTACTCATTGCTTCTTTTGCCCCTTTGGTCCATCTGGCTTGACCAGGTCGATATAGCTGGGCCACATCCGCCTCCGATTCTTCTGATATACTACACCTCTCCGCGATGCCATTCCAAAATCGCCCGTGTTTAGACAGCCGGGCTGACACTTCTCAACCTGACGGAGTCCAACGCCGTTTCTTGCACCCGCAGAAGAACTCCATGTCCAACTTCTCATATCCTCGCACTAAGCCTGTCCACTCCCACCAGCAAGACCGACCAGGTGACCGGGCGTCCGTTGGATCTGACTGCTCTGCTCCAGCGATGGTGGAGGATCACGGTTCAGACTTTTCGACTGAAGACGACTGCCAGGACGATAGGACAGGGACGGACTTGTGGGAGTCATTTTGGCGTGTACAAGAATCCTGTGCAAAAGGGGCGGATAATCAAGCAGCCATTGACACGACTGTGGAGAGCGGGCACGACAGTGACACAGCCATGGTTCAAGAAGCCCTGCTCACGACACGCGACCGAACCCCGGGGACAGAGACTCAAGGATGCTCCTTGTCTCAGCCGGTAAATCAGCTGCGTCCACGACAGCAACGGCCTCGAACTCCAAAATCCAAACCAAGAGCCTCTTACTCGCTCTTCCCGTCCTCCAGCACTGACAAGCGACGTCCGACGCCGTTGCGCCTTTCACCGGGGGTACAGCAACGGGCTTCAGGACCCTCCCAATCAAGCGCTCGGAACGTCTCCAAGGATGCGAAGGGCGACCTAGCCTGCGGTGATGCTATGCTGGCTTCTAAGCCGACCTCTCCAACAGTGGCCGCTCGCTCTTCTTCCCCCGAGATCTTTGTCGCAGCAGGCTCATTTGACCCAGTCCCCGTACTCCCCCGGACTCCTCCAATCTCGCCTCAGCCGTCGCCCCCAGTTTCTATTCGCGACAAATCATCTCCTTCTGAGGCTACAAGCCCTCAACGGCTAAGAACAGGGCTTCGCTCACCATCGCTCAACAACCTGCGCCATCGCTACCTGTCTAGAGTCCCAACTCGCTCCTCGCCGGCACTTGCACGCCTAGCCAAGCGAGAAAGCCAATCGAAGCTGTCAGTTGGAGAGCCCCAAGTTCAGACAAGAATCACACCGGATCTTTACGCCCGGCCCCTGCCACCCCTGCCCGCTGCGGAGCGGCCCCCATCTCCGCCACACATTTCCGTTTTCGAAACTGATTCGGACGACGAAGAGGATGGCAGTGACACCAAGAGGTTCGCCCGTCGTCTCATGCAAGGATTGGTCCATCACCACCATCATGATGTTGATCGCGATCATCGACGGAGGAACAAATCACCCTTTTCCGACCATAAGCGCAGTGTGAGCGACGAAGGGCCCGTCTCGTCGAAAGAGCGGGGTGGTAGCGGCAGCAGAATGGGCCTCAACCGCGCCGTCCACGCCGCGCGGCACAGACGTTCTGGAATTGTCAGCATGGACTTGCCGAGGGAAGAAGCCCAACAATACCACTTTGAGCCCGAATTGCCAGAGGGCCGATCGCGGGGCTGGAGCAGGATTTTTTCTCGGCGAAGGGGATGATTGTCCCCGTCACCCTGCTGAGCCAGTTGCCATGATGGGACATCGGCTCGCTCACTCAAATCCCTTTTGCTCTCAATGACAACTGTTTGCTTTAGAGGAAGGTTGAATGATCATTCTTCATAGCTCTTCTATTCTTGCATGGCCCGGGAATTAGCTACTGACCTGTGCATTCTTTCATTTTTGCATTCATTCGAGCTACGCGTTTTCCTATGTTGACCTGCTTTGGTCACGGGCAGCATTGTTCTAGAAGGGCGTGAGCATCAGCTCATACACTGCATTCTCTTTCTTCCACGCATTTCACTCCCTTCCATTGCATTTCGCTCCGTTCCACTGCATTTCACTATGTTACACTGCTCCACATCTTGGCTGCGAGATACTATCATGTGCTCCTGTATAGCCGTCTTACTGGCTCTGTGCCACACTTGGAATGGGACGGACGACTGCCATATAGATTACGACTCCGGAGGATGGGGCACCAGTATGATACGACCGTATGATGGATGTTCCACTTGTTCTACCTTTTTTTTTCTCACCGTCTGCGGGATCTCCCTGAGATCGCTCACTCTCTTGCTTTACATAGAACTGGGTCACATTGCATTCCCCCTTGAGCGGTAATTGTTTGGCTAGCGGACATCATTGGATTGGTTTGACTAAATATGGTGAGGGATGAGCACTAAAAGGGCAGAGACAGGAAGGAGGGTAGACATCTGTGTGTTTGACACGTGCTGTATAGGTTGTATCAAGTATGTACAGTGTACGGAGTACAGTACTCTACTACGTAGGTAGTGTATTGAGTCAGGTGTGGTTTACGTCTCCTAGCGTGGTAACATGTGAATCTCAAACATGTTCCAGAAGGGAGAGTGAGATTGTCAAGTCCACCATACCATACAACCGGGTTGGGCGCGCATGTAAGGGATCGGACAATCCAAGAAGGCTGAATCACAAACAGTGCCAATCTATATACATCGCGAAAAAACAACATCATTATTCGTTATAAGCGACTATCATGGTAGCTGGTGACGGCAGGCGATGTATGTGATGGCTCTCCTATAATCTCTTCCCTCTGAAAGGGCAGCCAGATGTTTCCCTTGAATCATCCAAATACCATCCATTCTGAATGTGTAGCCCTTACGCCTCATGTAGCATCGAAACCATTATGGAGTCATCAAGGATGCCCATTCCATCCCCATTGGCGCCGGAAACTCCGTGAAAACCCCGCAAGCGTTCGCCGTTGCCATGCATGTAAAAGCAAAGAGAAAGAGAGAAACACACAAAGCCACCCATTCCTGATTGTCGTCGGCATCCGTTTTGTCTCTCGTCACATCATCATCATCACCGCTTGCCTTGTACTCGGCTTGAAACCCGTGCCTCGCCCCGAGAATCCTCAGCTACCATCCGACGAACCCCCTCCTTCGGATCTGGCTCTTCCTCACCCTCCTCTTCTCGGTAAACCGTCTGACCCGCCTGACCCCCAACTCTGCGCCGTCCTCGCCGGCGGCGGGGGGCTCCCCGCCAAACCCGAACACCCACCTGGTCTGCATCTCGACCGCCATGTCCGCGCCTGCGCCCAGCCTCCTCAGCATCTCCTCCCTCCCCAAGCACCGCTTCAGGAACCCAGCCCCGTCCCCATTGCCATATTCATCATCCCTTCCGGCACCATTACCACCAACCCAGGGACCTCCATCCCCGGCACCGGCAACACCGACCACCAGGAACCCGATAATCTCGCCCAGGCAAGTCACGCCGTGCGGCATACGCATGGCGCGGCGGCCGGGGAACAAGGACGCCAGCGCAACAAGGTAGAGGACGAGCAGGGCCAGAAGGATGTAATAACCCGGCCGGTTCGGGAACATTCTGACTTCGAGATCCTGCGTTCCCGCGACTGGGCTGGCGGTAGTCAGAGCCATGAAAACGCCGCCGGCAAGAACGGGAATCAGGACGAAGAGGGTCGAGAGACACGAGATGGCGGCAACGCGCCAGTGCCTGTTCTTTAGCGCCCGGACAGTCACCTGTACCGGAGCGCAGGCCGGATAGTCGGCCAAGATGGAAACGGCGGCGGGGCTGCCTTTGGGATCGGAGAGGGAGGCCCATGGCTGGAGAACGCGCAAGTGCATGTCGAGCGGTTGGAAGAGGAGAAAGGCAACCATCCCCAGCAGAGAAGGGATGAAGCTGTAAAGGAAATCGGCAGCGGAAAAAGCGCCTGGCTGCGGATCTGCTCTGAGCCCCGGAAGGAAACCTGCCGTGATGCGGGTGGCCGGATGGAAGGAGGCGATAAAAATGGCTAGGAGGAAAACAAAAGCTGTGATGGTAAACCATAGGAGCTGGTTGGTGCGCAGGCACCAGGGGAGGTAGCGGTGTCTGGCCTGGGTCGAGAGGCCGCCAGGGGCGGCGGCTTCAACATCAAGATCCGCCGAACCACCGATCAAGCCAGCGCGATCAGCTGCCGATATCGTGACGCCGCTGTGCTTCTTCTCGTCATGCCGCTCCATTCGCTGCCCGGCGGCCAAATCGGATATGGGCATGAGATTCGCATCGTCCATAGGGCTCCCGAGGGCGTGCCAAAAGCCGGGCCTGCCATCTTTCCAGGTCCAGTAGCCCAATCTGTCGCCTGCACGTCGGCGCAGAGCGAATCGGATTCCTTCCCTGCTCCGCGCAAGCTGAGTGCCTCGGTAGTCGTCGGCGGTGTTGGTCTCAGATACGAGGGCTGCAATGTCTGCGAGCGATCTGGGGTCCCAGATGAGGCCAGTGCTCTCCAGGTTGGTCCAATAGCGCCAAACGATAACCGTCGACACAAGGAGGGCCAAGTACAACGCGACCAGAGTCCAGGCAACGCCCTGTACAGTCGCCCAAGTCCAGGTCTGGTCGACCAATATGACAGTGAAGAGCGAGCTCTGCAGCGGGATGGTGAGATTCATCAGCCAGATTACCAGAATGGGAACCCAGACATTCCACGGCCCGATCAAGGAGGGCAAGAGGAAAGAAGGGTAGAGATCCTGAAAAAGCGAACCATCGCGATCCTGGCGCAACTCGGATGCTAGGCGAACAAAAGGCAAGATGCGAAGCATGGTTGTCGCGAGGAATTGAGCGTATAGAAGCATGACAGCGCCTAGCAGCTGAGGCAGCATGCGGAAGAGGAAGTAGCGTCCTCCGTGGATACTCTCCCACCCTGACAGTCCGCTGTGCAGATGGGAGTAGATGGCGCAGAACATGAGCGCCGCAATCATCAGAGTGCACGCGGTTATGAAAGCAAATAGCGCCGGTGCGCGTAAGGGCCATGGCTTGAAGGTGAGAGGCGGGATCCCAGGGCCCCTTAACTCACCGACCTTGGCGAGAAGCTCCTCTCTTTGAACGGGCATCCATTCATGGGGCTGGGCGCCGCGCTGGCCGCTCTTGAGGAGACTCTCGGCGAGAGAGTGGGCAGATTCCCTGGCGTTCGGAACAAACAGGCGGGGTGGTTGCTGAGGACGTAATAGCGGCTCAGCAATCTCAGCAAGCGGCGGGCGACTGGGTAAAGCACCGGGGTTGGGCAAATGTTGCTCTGCACGGCCGACCTGCTGGTACCGATGCTGCTGCTGCTGCTGCAATCCCGGCACGTATGCGGAAGGACCGGAGGTTCCGCTGCTGGCGGTTGGGACGGCTGAATAGCCGGTGTCCCGGTCGCGGGTGAGGGCCTCGATGGCGTACTGAATAAACGGAGTGTTATCAACGCCAGGAGTGACCACGCCATCCAGCCTGGCAAGCTCGTCCCGGAAGTCAGTCATGATGGCCGAGTTCCCTGATGGCTCCCAGCCAGGGTGGTGGGCCTGTGTCAGAGGTGGAATATCGGGGACACGACGATAAGGGCCCTCAATGATGACGGGGCGCCCATACGCTCGTGCCACGGTTGGAGGATCAAAAATGCGATCTGGAGCGTACGACTCTGACTCTGAAGGCCTTGGAGAAGGAGAAGTCAGGCCGTTTAGGACGGGACTTGGAAGGCGCCTTGGCTGGGAATTGCGCCGAGAGAGTCGAGGAAGAGTTGCCTCGTTGGGATACTGAAGACGGGGACCTAAAAAGCGGCCATGAGCAAAGACGACACGCAATGAATGGATTTGGGCTGGGCAGCAAAAGCGCACGTACTGGGCGACTCCACGGGATCGAAGTCCGAGTTGGGGAAGTTCATGCTTGGAGTGACAAACGGGCAAATGCGGGCAACCACCAAACACGAACCTTGGCTAACTGTCCATACAGATCACGGAAAGGAGCAGACGGAGCGATGATGTATTGATGATGCAAGAAGAACAAGATGCATTATGCGAACTTTTTGAAAAAGAGAAAAAAAATATGGTTGGAAACTTGAGTAGCAACCTCGTTACAGGAGGCTGGGTGGTGATGGTTGTGAATTGGTGGTTGGGCGACAGTACCAGCCACCAGCATTGACCAGGGAATGGCCACCCCAGGAAAAACGTCCCCAGAAAGGATAAAACTTTAAAACTAATCAGATGCTTTCTTACCATTCGGCCCATGAACACAGCAGTTTGCACACCGCGATTCACCTGCTTCTACACTAGTTGCAGATGCAAGGACGTCTGAGTTCTGCTGCCATGGTTCGTGGCCGATGTACAAGAGAGTTGAGGTGTTTGTCGGCCGTTGAAGGCAAATTTGGGCTGGATGCGTGCTTGGACCAATCGCCCGCCCAGCTCCACAGCCAAGATGCCGAAACGCTTGGGCCAAGGGCCCACACCCCACCGTTGCACGGCTCTGCAACGTAACAGGCGCTCATTGGTGCCACACGTTTTCTCCACAAGGCTGAACTTAAATCAACTGCAGGTCCCTTGCAGCCAGCACACCTTCAGCGAAGAGGAATTCGGGAATCGAGCGAGACAAACTGAAGCCCTCAACACGTCCTAGGACATATGTCAGAACGCACATTGGTCAATTCGGGCACAATCATGAGCTCTCAGCAGCATCGCACTTCCTTATGACGAGAGCGTCGGCCCGCCCTGTATCCAAGGCGGATGCCATGTGAAAGATGCACCGTCTCCCGATCCCAGCGAGCTTCCGCACAGAGGCATTCTGACGCGCATCTACATCTACTGTCGTCAAATGCCATAAGCTACGCGCAATCTCCAGCTCTAGCGTTCCAATATCCAGTTTTCATTATCCAGTTTCACGGTCCGCCGATAGTCGCATCCGGCAGAATTTCCCCAGAGGTCTTCCGAGCATTGTATCACTACAATACCCCCCTGGTTTGTTCGCTAGCGGCTGACTTGAAGACAGGGGTCACCCTCAAAAGTCAGATCTCGACAGAAACACAGCCACTTTGCTCACAGATATAATAGGTAAATAAAACGACCATTGTGAACATTGCAAGATTCTTATTTTTTTTGCGTTGAAGTATTCCCTCTAGCTGTTGAGCTGTATCTTTTTCAAATTTGGATCAGGACCCCTGTCCTGAGTTCTGCGCTAACAAACAAACAAGGATTGTATTGTAAAGTAATGGGTCAAAAGTATCTGTGGGTTCGCCCCACCCAATCTAAGCCCCATTTGACCACCCCGACTTACAT